AGGCTGTTCAATTCACAAAGGTCAAGCAGTTATGTAGCACTGTTCATCCTATTGAATGCTGTTTCTTCAGAATGTCGTAACACTTGATTTTGTTTTCAGCACTCTTCCTGGGCATGCTCCTTTTAAAGATTACAAAAACATTAAAAATTTGAATTAATAAGTGCATTTTTGAAACTATTTTCATCCAGTTGAGAGGGAAAAGGGTATTCAGTAGAATCTAGAGATAAACAAACCAACTATTTTCACAAAGTTTTTAAGGGGCAGGACTGAAAGTGTACTATCTTCAGCAGCAGCTTTTCAGGTTGCAAAAATATCACTTTTTACATTTTAAAAAAACCCAATAAAAACAAAGGGCAGCTCTAAGGTCTGGATAAATTCTGCAACTTTTCTTCTATAGCCCTGATTTTTTTTTAAATTATAAAACATTTAGTGAAAACTAAACTGGTTCTCCAACTTAGACACAATTTGGCAAGTTTTTTTAAAATGTTGATTACTGGTCCATAACAGAACACTGTTGCAAGTTTGATCTTACAAAATACTGTATCTGTTCTTTAAATTTCACAGCAGGATAGATCATTTCTCTAATTGGCACATGATTCCTTAATTTTGGCATTGCATATGAAATTCAGAAGCATTTTAGCCAGTGAAATGCTGTACTCCCATTGTGATTTTACAATGTCACAACCACAGATCAGATCTCAAAGTACTATGGACATTTTTAGCCCTTAGTTCCAATCTCTTTTCTAAAAAAGGATGGTTATAATGACAAAATAACTGCAGGTATAAATTCAGAGGATGGCTGGCAAAAACTGTGTGGGGCCAATGGGAATTAACACCTAAAAGGTGTCAGAGGGGAAGGCAACGGCCTAAGGGTATTATCACTGCACTACTAATTTCCGAGAACTAGGTAATGTTCTGGGGAAAAACGGAAAGAACTGCGGATGCTGTAAATCAGGAACAAAAACAGAAGTTGCCTGAAAAGCTCAGCAGGTCTGGCAGCATCTGTGAAAAAGAAAGAACGTAGTTAAAGTTTCGGGTCCGGTGACCCTTCCTCAGACCTCTGAGGAAGTTCTGAGTTCCTCAGTTCTGAGAAAGGGTCACTGGACCCAAAACATTAACTCTGATTTTGTTTTTTCTTCACAAATGCTGCCAGACCTGCTGAGCTTTTCCAGCAACTTCTGTTTTTGATCCTCATTAGAAAGCCAAGCCTTGCTGATTATGTTCCAAATTGCAGACACATTTTCTTTTTCCCTTTGAAAAATATCCCTGGACAGGTAAAAAGCCAGTTTCAACTCTACTGAAGCGGACTCATGGGACAAAATGTACTCATCAAGTATGCGAGTCTATGTTTGGTCATTAGCATTCTGCAAAGGTTACAGTTGAAGAACTATCACCTAGTTACTGTTGTATTGCAGGTAAAGACTGTCTCACTCAGTGCTGCAAACTAGTTTTTTTTTAAATAATGAATCAGGACAAATAAAATTCACTTGGCCTACAAAACCACAAAAAATTACTGTTCAACTACTATTTTAGTTACAGTAACTTCAATTTCAACAACCACTATGTTCAACTATCTGCTTTTCAAGAACAGTTCAAAGTCTGATCCATATATCTGTTTTATTAAAATCTTATCTTTTTGGGCTTGGCTCTTATTTCTGATCTGTGCATTTAGTATCTCTTTTCACTTGTAGTAATTAATTAACACACTTAATTCAAGAAATCCTGGTTAAATTGACTTTTATTGTTTGGGTTGAGGAGATAGGTATCCACAAGGGAACGGGTCCTTCTTAAATTAATTTTGCTGCAACCAACCAAGGGGAGATGTTCATGCCTCCTCACCTGGGAGCTTAACGATTTACGTTATCCTGTCTGGAATTGTAACTAATTGTACACCCTCACCTATGATCAGATTGTACCAGCTTGACTAGGTTTCCAAAATAAAAATAATTTCTCAACCACAAATTATTAGTAAAAAAATTTTCAAGGATTAAAAACTCAAATATACGCAGCAACTAAATAAAATAATATATAGGTCTGCAGCACTCCAATTGCTGAGATGTTGCAATATTCTTTGTGTAGTTCACTTCTTCAAGATTACAACTTGATTATAATAATTTCAGTGCGTGCCAATTGTGTGACTGAAAAACGCCAAGCAGTCAAAGCTGAAGAAGGATGAAGAAGTAAGCCAGTATTCAAGTGATAGCCATCTTATATTTGACAAGATAGTGTAGAAGTTAACATATTACTTCCAATTTTTTTTTGACTATTTTGATTCCATGTACAATTGAATAGACATACCCTCAGAAAAGGACTCACTGTCCTTAAAAAAGGAAGTATAATTGCAATAGTGCACGAGACATGTGATCTCAAAACCAAAATTAGCTGAGTGGCCTACTACAGGTATTTCAAATAATGCAAACTAGCGAAAAGGATACAAATCGTCCCACCACTCCATCGTCAGAATGGAGAGCTCTGTTCTTTTGCAACAGTCAAAACAAAATGCCAGAAAATAAATAAAACCTACATTTTTATTTAAAAGTTATTAGCACGGAGTTTCTACATTTCAATGCAATCCAGAATAACTCCTATGCATTTTGTCAAATCAGTGCTCACTTATAACTGTTTATAACTGTTAAATCTCTGCAATTGTAAAAATTTGAATAGCTTGTTTATCTCTAGTAATCAGGAGTTGCACTGCACGTACAGTACAAAATTACCTTAGAATTAAAGCAGCTCCTACTGGGATTTTGAATATATTGGAATTCTAGGTGATATTAATGCACAGTGTTTTTTAATAGCAAACAGAATACTCAGAAAATCAACAAATCCTGTTTAAAAAAATGCCACCACAATGGAAATATTAATAAGATTAACACAAACTGAGGTGTAGAAATAACAATGTTTGAACTATCAGATACTTAATTTTCAATTTCTTATAATCTACACTGACATACCAAAAATAAAATTAAAAAATAGGTAATTCACTGGCCTTTAAGAGAGCGTGCTGAGCAGTGAGATTGAAGCGAATAGCAGAAGAAAACAAAAAGATGCAAGGAAATACAAAAGGAGATTGGAAAAATTAACAGAAAATGTTGAAAGTGAATACACAGAGGCCAGATACAATTGAAACCAAGTACCTCCCCCACAGTGACAATAACTCTCAGGCTACTCATTTTAGCAGCAGAATTAATGACGTTCCATCCACCCACTGAGCTAAGGATGTTGAATAAATCACTAAACCTTACATTTATACAGCATCTTTAATGTAATCAAACATCCCAAGGCTGTTTTTACAGGTATTTTAAAGCAGAATTTGATACCAACCTACGTAAAGGTGATATTGAAAGATAGTCAGAGGCAAAGGAGAGAATTCCAAGATTTAGGACCAAGCATGAAGGCAGAGCCACCATTGTTAGAGGAATGAAAATCAGGGATACTCGAGAGTCCAGAATTAGACAACAATATCTTGGAGCATTGTAGGGCTAGACAAGGTTTCTAAGGAGAGGGTGAAGAGATTTTAAAACATGGAACAATAGGGAAAAAAGGCACTAAAATTCAAACCAAGTAGCAAGGAAGATAAATTATGTAAATATTGCAGAAATGCGTAAAAAAAAGACATAAAATAACTAACTCAACCTGAATATAACAAACAGAAAAAAAAACAAGTAACAGAAAACAGATGATGGATGTAAACGAGCTCAGCAACACACCTGGAACAGCTTTCTTAGGAAATCTGCTTTCTGGGTACCTTTCTCTATTCTGTTCAACACCTTTCCTAGAAGTCTGGATTCTGATCAAATAAAAAAAATGTGAGTGGACACTACAAACTTATTTTAATTTGTCAAATAAAACACCAGATATTGAATGGATTTTAATATAACTGAAATGATCATTCTCTTATTATGCAACATTCTTTGGGATAAAATAGATAAAGGGCAACAGGAAAGGATAGTGCCAAGAAAATTGTTGAGGCAAACACAAAATACTGGCAGTTAAGAGTAATGTTTTAATATACTGTTGCAGTTTTCAAAAAGTAATGACCATGCAGGAACCGTGTGTTAAAGGAGCCAGAGTCAGGGAAGAGTATGCAGTCCCACACGCTGTGAAAGCCCACGTTGCAAGGCTGTTTTTGAGACACATCAGGCGGTCTTTGTGGAGGAGCCAGAGTAAAGAGAACATGATAGTTTTGTAACTTTCCCCATAGTTTTTGGTAGAACTCGAACAGTAAATTTAAAATGGGTAGTCAGAAGTGACATTAAGATCAAATGTCTCAAGTTCTAAACTACAACTCGTTTTGCTACAACAAAAACAACCTTTTATACAAAACAGTTATATAATCTACAAAGTCAGTATAAAGAAACTGTAAATCAAACTAGTCTACTGTGAGAGTTTCCTCTCAGATACGAGAGTGGCAAAGCAAACAATCATAGAGGAAGAATTTTACCATTCAAGAACAAGGGAGGAAAATCTTTGCAACCATTTAAGGGAGAAAAAGTCATGCCATTTAGTTGAGTTTCTTCCCCCCAATTCATTCATGGGATGAGGGTGTCACTGGATAGGCCAGCATTTACTGCCCATCCCACAGCTTAAGAGTCAACCATTTTGCTGTGGGTCTGGAGTCAGATGTAATCCAGACCAGGTAAGGATGGCAGGTCCCTTCCCTAAAGGACATTAGTGAACCAGATGGGTTCTGATAATTGATTATGGTTTCATGGTCATCATCATCAAGGTCATTTGCAACACAAAAATTCAGCTTTTACAAGTTGCAGTCCCCATGTTCAACTGAAATATTCAGTTAGTATGATCATTAAAACAGAAGATTAAGAAAATACTTAGTGCAATAATGTTGTAATAGCTTGGATTATGTGCTGATGCTAGAAGAAAAACAACTGTTGAACTGTTTAGGTGTGCATCTTTTAATATGAACTATCACTGTCAAATTCTTAGTTTAAAACTGCTAAATTTACTGAACAATAAATGTACTTTTAGAATTTTGAACTGCTTTGCATCATCAAAAGCAATTATTACTAATTTTTTGAGAAAGGAAAGTACATCAAAGGTCTGACCACAGGATCAAATCTCAACTCCATGTCATTCAGATGTAGTCATCTTAATTTCCAAGTAAAATGTTCTTGCACACCAACAAATTTGGCTAGTTTCATTTGTATAGCATTATTCCAAACATCAATGGATTATTAGGCAATATCAAAAGAAAACATTTCTCACCTATTCTTAGGGAATGGTTTGACACTTTTCAACAATGGTGACACGCTATAGTTCTCCAAAATTAGAACATAACACTAAAACCATTTAAGATAACAGTGATGAAAAATACGAAGCAGCAATTGAGGCATTTCTTCAATACTTTCAGTTAAATGTAATTTCTCTTAAAAAATTCAATATCTATTATTATTACCCTTAACCTTTTAAACAAACAGATAAAATATTTCAAGGAATTTTCATTATTCTGTGCAGGATAATTATTCACTTTTTTTGAAACTAAGGTGGAAAATATCTTCCAATACATGGCTGTAACATTCACTCTTTCACAATCTTTAGATCTGGGACAGGAGTTCAGAAGTGATCATAACTTTATAAACAGATCTAACTGCGTTTCTAATAGTAATAAATCTGTTACATTATTTGAGTGGACATAAATGGTGCATTCTCAAATATTAAAATGGCTTAATACAACGAAGCCTTTCAGCTTCTTCTGAAGCATGGACCATTATACACATACACGCATGTACAAACTAACAAAAATTTTGCACTTTTATACTGAAAACAACAAATGCTGGAGATCACAGCAGGTCAGACAGCATCCATAGAGAGAGAGCAAGCTAACGTTTTGAGTCTAGATGACTCCATCAGAACTAAAGGTGAAGTGTGTTTGTTGTTTTCAATACAGATTCCAGCATCTGCAGTAATTTGCTTCTGCTTCCACTTTTATACTTTGGTCAAAGACACAGGAATCAAAGAGTCATGTTTTAGAGGAGGAGGGATAGACTGAGGTTCAGAGAGGACATTTCAAACCTTGGGGCCTAAATTACAAATTTTCAGCTACCAATTGAAAAAAAGAGGAAGTGATGACAATGGAAGTAGACACAGTTAAAGGGAGTGTTTTCTTGGACTGTGTGTTGTAGGATTACAGGTATGAAGGAGTAAAACCCCACATAAGAATTTGAATTTGTAGGAGAGGAGATGGCCTAGTGGCATAATCACTAAACTAGGAGATAGTAGGAACTGCTGATGCTGGAGTCTGAGATAACACAGTGTGCAGCTGGATAAACACAGCAGGCCAGGCAGCATCAGAGGAGCAGGAAAGCTGACGTTTCGAGTCTGGACCCTTCTTCAGAAATGGGGGAGGGGAAGGGGGCTCTGAAATAAATAGAGGGGGGGAAGCGGTGATAGAAGGTGGATAGTGGAGCAGATAGGTGGAGAGAAGACGGACAGGTCAAGGAGGTGGGGATGAAGCTAGTAAAGGTGACTGTAGGTAGGGAGTTGGGATGGGGTTTGGTCAGTGAGGAAGGAAGGAGGGAGGGAAGACGGACAGGTCAAGGAGGCGGGGATGAAGCTAGTAGTGAGCATAGGTGGGAGTGTAGGTAGAAGGTAGGTAGGTAGAATTTTAAAAAAAAAAACATGTTCTGGGAGTTAGCATCTTATCACTAAACTATTAATTCAGAAACTCAGCTAATGTTCTGGAGACCTGGGTTCAAATCCCAGCTGGAATTGGGATTCAACTTTTAAAAATCTGGAATTATTAATCTACTAAATAACAATTAAACTGTTGCAGATTGTTGGAAAAACCCATCTGGCTCACTATGTCCCTCTGGGAAGGAAACCCAGACCTGAAATTATCTTGCCATTGTCTCTCCACCTAAATACTCCGTGTCTCTATGCTTTGCTCTACTTCAGCTGACAAAGCAGCAGTGCTTCTAAAGCTTGTGATTTTAAATAAACCTGTTGGACTATAACCTGGTGTCGGTGACTTCTGATGTGATTCAAAGTGAATTTTCAATTTCTATATTTTTAAAGTTATAAATATGCCTAATATCAAATCAATAAACAGCTATCAAATTATTTTCAAGCAAAAGAAAAGTTGGAGATGAAAGATAAATGCTTGTAAGTTTTAAAATAGAACCGAACGCAGGAATATATACTATTTAAATTTTGAATATAACAGTAATTCAGGTTTCTGCAAGAACTACCTCATTGTCTTAAATAAGTGGTAATTTTGCAAACATTCGCTGTACAACTAAAACTTCTTGCTTGTTTTAGGATGTAATTTTTAGATTTAGGACTTAAAGATTAACAAAAGAAAATGACAAATGTAATTGAAGCTTCTTAAAGTCTACTGTTTTTAAAAGACTGGGGCCAAGTTGCTTTAAGAGGTTACATTAGAATTAAACAAAAAACACGTTCTGAGAGTTAGCAAAACTAGCTGAAAGATAGTGAACTTTGAAAGGCTACAAAACACTATCTCAGAGCAGGCTACATTATCATAAAGGGTCATGCTGTTGAAATGGCTCTCTGACAACAATTTATAGAAATTTCCTGGGAGACGTTTATTACGGTGAGCTGGTAAGATAGATACAGAACTGGTCTGGTCATAGAAGATGGAGAATAGTGGTGGAAGGGTGCTTTTCAGATTGGAAATCTGTGACCAGTGATGTTCTGCTGGGATCAGTGCTGGGAAGCCTGTTGTTTGTAATATGTACAAATGATTTGGAGCAGAATGTAGGTGGTCTGATTAGTAAGTTTGCGGATGACAATAAGATTAAGGAAGTTGCAGATAGTGAGGAGGATTGCCAGAGGTTACTGCAGAATTATAGATAGGCTACAGACTTGAGCAGAGAAATGGCAAATTGAGTTTAATCCAGACAAATTTGAGGTGATGCATTTAGTGATGCAGGAGGAAAGTATACAACAAATGGCAGAACCCTCAGTGGCATGAACACAGAGGGATCTCGGCATACAGGCCCACAGCTCTCTGAAAGTGGCTAAGGTGGACAAGGTGGTAATACGGTATGATTACCTTCTTCAGTTGGGGCACAGAGCATAAAAATTGGCAAGTTCGGTTGCAGTTGTATAGAAATTCAGTTAGGCCACACTTGGACTTTTTGTACAGTTCTAGTCACCACACTACAAGAAGAATGAGGAGGCTTTGCAGAAGGTTCAGAAACGGTTTATCAGGATGTTGCCTGGTTTAGAGGGTATTAGCTATGAGAAGAAATTGGACAAGTTTGGCATGTTTTCACTTGAACACTGAGGGACGAGGGGTGACCTGATAAAAGTTTACAAAATTGAGTGGGATGGATAGAATGAATAGTTGAAGTAGGCAGGTTGTTTTTTTAAAAAAAACATAGAGGGTGCCAAGAGCCTGGAATGTGCTGCAAGAGTTAGTAGTGGAAGCAGATGCTCATTTAGGAGGAATCTTGACAGATGAAAAGGCAGGGAATAGAGGGTTTGAACTGCGTGGAGGCAAAAGGTTTTTAAGTTTAGAAAAACATCATGTATCAACACAGTCTTGGTGGGCTGAACAGCCTGTTACTATGCTGTACTGTTTTTGTTCATTTTAAGTCACTTGCAGTTTTGGAGCTGGGAGAATACGAAAGCAGAAGTGTTGCCCTTAGCAGACTCCAGGCAGTTAGGATAAATTCTCTGGAAGACCAACAGTTCTGTGCAGCTGAGACAGTGCAGATAAACAAAGGCCACAAGCTGTGCTTGCCTGACACTGGGAGAAATATTGAACTTCTGAGACATCCTGGGGTAATTTAATGAAGATGACAATTTGCAAAAGAGCCAGGATTACGCCCATGCTGGGGAATCCAGTGGAACATAGCCTCAGAAGAATAGACTGAACTGCCTGAACATGAGAAGTCATTGAGGTAGTCCATGACAGAGCTTACAAAGAACTTCCAAAGCTAGAAGGTGAAGAATTGGCATCTCTTGAATCTTAGAAAAAAAATTTGAGACTTGGTTACCCAGAGTGTCATTAACATCTGAGACGTTGCTGAGAAATCAGCGGGATTAGTCTTGGCTGCATTTGTTATTTATGGTGTTGTACAACACAGTAAACAGCATCCGCAGCCAAGACAAATCCCACAGATGTTTGAATCTGTTACCCACGTTTACCTTGTGTTATTACTGAATGTTAGAACACAGGTTATGAACACATAATAGATTGAATTATTTTTCTAACTTGGTTAGAGCAGTTTATTTTGTTTGTTCAGGACACTGGAATCCTGTGGCTTTATTTATAGATTCATACAGTGCAGAAAAGGCCCTTCAGCCCATTGAGTCTGTACCAACATAACTACTACTACTTGGGTAATAACCAGGATTTCAAACTGTATCTACATTAAACAAAGATAAAAAGTTATGGCAATTAGCCAGATGATAACAGATTTAAGGATCTTATCAAGGCTCAATCTCTGAATGAAGCAGTAAACTGAAACACAACCATTCTTTCTGTCACTTACCCTTGTCTGTGAAGTAGTCTTCGGGCTGGAGCATTCTGCCCCTGACTTGGTTGAAGAATTCTGTAAATAAGCAGTGGGATATTTAATTTTGTACTGTATAATAAACAGCCTTACACTGCCGATCTTTATCTGGACTTACCTGGTTTCAGAGGAAGCCTTTTGTTTCACATGTGACTTCTGTTTACTGGTTATTGCCATTTCAGCAGCCCTTGAAAATAAAAGTCAGCCCTAATCAAATTCCAGGAAGGTGGCAACAATTTCCCCAATCTAGCTGTGTTTATCTCCCAAACTTGATTTTGCAAGTAAAGAGGAGCAAGCAAACTTATCACCACCTCTTCATAAACACATCATAGGAAAACATTCTAGGAAAATAAAAAGCAAACTAATGTTCAGCTATTTGAATACTAAATATTTCTTTTATAACCAAAATGACAAACAGTATTGTTTCAGTAACTATGACACTTACTTAATCTGCCTTTTTCTGTCTAAAGATTTCTGTGTCGCAATCGAAAGAGCTCCTTTTTCTTTAGGGCTCTTCCATTTCTCCTGCAGTAAAGGTGAAAAGGCCCATTTAAGATCAAGAAAGACAAAAAGTACAATGGATTACACAAATAAAGCAACATACAAAACACATTTCTTGTACCTTTGTTCTATGGACACAGGCACTAATGAGAGCCAATTAGCTTTCCTCACTTACTTATTTGGAAATTATGTAACATACACCTAGAATATTTTGTGCAGTTTTGGTCTCCTTTTCTGGGGAAGGATGCTCTTGCTCTTGAGGGAATGCAGCAAAGATTTACCAGGCTGATTCCAGGTATGGCAGGTCTGACGTATGAGGAGAGATTGACTAGATTGTTTTCAGTGGGGTTCAGGCAAATGAGAGTGCAATTTCATAGAGCCTTTTAAAATTCTAATGGGACTAGACAGGGTAGACGTTCCCGATGGTGGGTGTGTCCAGAACCAGGAATCTCAGTCTGAGGATTTGGAGTAGACCATTTAGGACAGAGATTTCTTCACCCAAATAGTGGTGATCCTGCGGAATTCATTACCACAGGAAGTAGTTGATGCCAAAACATTGAACGTATTCAAGAGGCAGCTAGATATAGCATTTGGGGCAAATGGAATCAAAGGTTATGGGGAGAAAGCAGGGTTAGGCTATTGAGTTGGACGATCAGCCACGATTGTGAAGAATGGCGGAGCGGGTTTGAAGGCTCCAATGGCCTCCTCCTGCTCCTATGTTTCGATGACAATCTAGAGGCTATGTAAGCAATGTTTTCTTGGAATTATTATATCTCCTCGCTATCCTCCTAAATGACTGAAACTTTCTTAACTTAGAAACATTTTCTCATTTCATGGACTGGCAATGTGACCATTGCCCTTGAGAAGATGGTGGTGAGATGCATTCTTGAATTGCTACAATCCATGTGCTGTAGGTAAACCCACAATTCCATAAGGGAAGGAACTCCAGGATTTTGACCAGCGATACTGAAGGACCAACGATATATTTCCAAGTCATTATGGTAAGTGGCTTGGAGGAGAACTTGAAGGTAGTGTTGATCCCATGTATCTGTTGCTACTGGTCTTCTGGACAGTAGGAGTCATGGTTTGAAACGTGCTCATGAAGGATCTTTTAGAATTGGTGTAAGGCATCTGTAGATGGTATACGCTGCTGCCACTGTGCATTGATAATACCGGAACTGAATGTTTTAGATAATGGATGGGGTACCAATCAAGTGGGCTAGTTTGGCCTCGATGGTATCAAGCTTCTCGTGTTATTGGAGTTGCACTCATCTAATCAAGAGGGGTATGCCATTGCATTCCTGACCTGTGCCTTGTAGATATCGGACAAGCATCAGGTGTCAGGAGGCAAGTTATTCACTGCAGAGTTCTGAGCCTTTAATCTGCTCTTATTTAGAGAAGCTAATAACAGAGACAATTACACGTTATAAAGTAAAGTAATGTTCCAACATAAAAATAATATTCCAGGTACAGAAATACTTTGTTCACTGAACCCTAGTTAGTCTAAGTTACCATTTGTCTCAGCTGTTTCTCTTTGCGAATTTCCCGATCATGGCACAGAATTTGCATTCTTTCTTCAGGGTTGAATACAAAGAAGATATCATGAATCTCATAAAGAGCAGCTCGTAACTGGAAAAAGGAAACCAAAATTTACAGATTTGGAATTTCGCAGTCTAAAATTTAATGGACTAAATTTGTGTAGTCTGACTCAATACCTGTGCAACTACTCTTTCGTGTAATGAAAGATCTTGCGATGAAACAGTACCTCTTTTAAGAGGTGCTTCTGTCTGAAAATTATTGATAAATTCCAAGGTATCCTTCAACAAAAACATAAGTGATTACATACAAACTTAAATGATTTCTATTGTTTAGAAATTCAAAATGTATTAAATTGATTATTTCTATTTCTGGTTATTTCAAAATCTATTAAAACATAAATTGTTCTAAGCATAGAAGTTTTATCCCAACGGCATTTGTTTCCAACTTTCACAAGAGAATTGAGAATATATAAGAAAATGAGAATTTGAAATGCGTCTTTAAAACAAAGGAATGGGACTAACTGATTAGCACTTTCAGAGGCAAGAAAGTCACAATGGGCTGAATGACTCCATGAGTGATTTCTTATCCACGATCATACAGTGTCAGATTTCAAAATTCTTACTTTTACAGTTTGTTGAAGTTGTTTCAATTTCTCTGTCTTCATCAGTCTACGAGTAAGGAATCCTTTTGCCACAGCTGTAACTTTATTAAACTTCTTCTGCATGTCTGATGTATTCACCTTAAATACAGTAATTCCACACAGTGATGACGTCAAAGTGAAAGCTTGACAAGGTTCTCAAGTTAACTTCATTCACTCCAAAGTATTACAGATAAAAAATAACAAACAAAATAGATAAATTTCTTATACAAAAAAAAACAAAGGACTGCAGGTGCTGGAAATCAGAAACGAAAATAGAAATTGCTGGGAAATCTCAGCAGATCTGGCAGCATCTGTGGAGACAAAACAGAGTTGACATTTCAAGTCCAGTGACCCTTCTTCAGAACTGAAAAAGCCAGGAAAAGGTTGAATATATGTTGAGGTTGGGGAAGGAGAAAGAGTAATGGGATTGAGTATCCACTTAACATTCACTCCTTCCCCCCACCCCATCTTTAGCATATATTCTACTCTTTTCCTAACTACAATCAGACAAATTCCTTCCCTTACGAAGTAACGTAACTTTTTGAGGACTGCTATTCACGTGAGATATTGACCAATATTGGGAAATGTAAAATTCTGAAGAAAGCAATCAGGTGGCAAATGGTCAAATACAGTTCATCAGTTTTATTTAAGACAGAAAGCTTTCTATTAGAGCCTGCCTATATAAGAGATTCATTGCATTCTTGGCTAGTGTGTACACACATGCCATTTACACAACTGTGTTACACTCAAAAAGCACCACAACATCTCTAAATAATTAAGGGACATGCCATTCTCCAAATTTTGGGAGTACTTGGAATTTAGTATCCATGGACTAGGTTTTCCATAGCTGAGGAAACTTGAAAGTTAAGTGCACGCAGGAGCTGCCAAATGAAAGCACTTTGTTAGCAGTTTAAACGTCATTAAACATAAAAGGGAAATTGCACACTAGTATTATGCACCGTCAAAAAGAAACGCTCCCAACTGGTTTTCTGTTTCTAAGTTCTATTTTTGCACTACTGAAGATAAAGGGCATAACTTATTTGTCTTCTTTCATTTGTACCAGCATCTTCACTGAAAATTCCAATAGATTCTCATTACAAAGTTACCCTTCAAAAAAAAAAGCTACGCAGTACAGTTGTGGGATGGCAATTTTCCTGGGATATATAAACAGTAACTGTAGCTTCGCCCACAATTGGTGCAAGGGTTCATCCCAGTAAAGAAACTGAAGTGCAAATTAGAAACAGCTGCACAAAGGCTCATTAACAATTGGCTATAGGCAGTCAACCTTGTAGAGAGGCTGCACAGCACAATGCTCTAATTATAAAGCCTTTCAGATTTAAAAGATTACAATAGGAAGGACAATAGATAATTAGAATGTTATATGGTTGTCACACAACCTAGAAGCATGAAATTTTTTTTTAAAAAAAGAGTTCAGAGCTCAGGTTTATTGCCAGTGATTCTATCATTTTATAATAAAATTACCTCCCTCTCTTGTAGATCCTCAAACACTAGAATTGTGTTAATAAACAGGGTCCATAATGAGGAAGGGTCACCGGACCCAAAATGTTAGCTCTGATTTCTCTTCATAGATGCTGCCAGATCCGCTCAGCTTTTCTAGCAACTTAAGTTTTTGTCACATAATTCATATTTTGTAAAACATCAGATGCATCACAGGCATTTTCATCCCAAGAAAAAAGTACTTTTTTAAATTTTGATTTTAGAAATGAATAAAATAATCACTTGTTCTTGCTTATCCAAACTCTTCAGTCTCAGTGAAACCTCTTGTAACCTTACAGAGCAAATTCATTTCCATAGAGGAATACAGATAAATACTGATAATCTGGAGAACTCCACTTCTGGTCTTAGGCTTCCTGGCTTCCATCCCATGTGGAATACTAGTCAAAAAGGTTACAGAAGAGCTCTAACAGTAGTGAAATGCTAGTTTGAGTCCCATCCCATGTAGAATTGAGCTGACAGGAAAGCCAGCATCTGCATTTAATTCCATATAAACGTTAAAATTTGCATGGAATTAGTGTGTTTATACATCCAAATACATACAAGAGGCATGACGATAATTACTGGTAAAATACTAACTCTAAATTCTAAGAAAAACAATGATTTAATAAGCATATTGACCATTCCACACATTACCTCTGCAGTCCAGGAATCTAAATAGATTGTAGAGAACTATCTTGTTCCATCTCACCTGGGACCATCTATTCCGTTGTTTAAGGAAACATGAAATCTGCATCTCATGCATTTTATCATTCCCAGCTCCCCATCCAGTTAAAGAGGATTCAGTATTTGTTGAATTACTGGTAAAAGCTGGAAAAGTAAATTGACAAACAATACAACTTCAAAACCTTGAGGAAAGGTTTAAAAGTGCTAAATCACTGAATACCAACTTTCTAGATTATGCATCCTTTAACTCATTTACAGGAAATTTCTCCAAGATCAGGTTACAATAAAACTATCAAGAACATTACAGCTTGGGATAATTCTGTTTTTACCAAAGTTCAACATCATTAGAATGGATAACAAATGCTAGTCTTGTCAGGACACTCCATCCCACAAAAGAATGTTAAAATAACTCAAATCTTTCACTATCAACTTATCCAAACTTGAGCACAAAAACAGATGCACGCATTGTGGTGGATAGGAAGGGAAGAATAAAATAACAAGACGACATGCTGGAATATATTGTTAAGCAGGTTTATAGCAGGATATTTAGAAAATCTCAATGCAATTAGACAGAGCCTGATAGTTTTGTGAATGAAATGACATTTAACTAATTTATTTGAATTTCTTACTAGGTAACAAAACACAGTGGTGTGGAGTCACACGTAGGCCAGACTAGGTAAGGATGGCAGTTTCTCTTCCTAAAGGACGTTAGTGAACCAGATGGGTTTTTCCAACAGTTGACAATGGATTCATGGTCATCATTAGACTCTTAGTTCCAGATTGCCATGGTGGGATTTGAACCCAGGTCCCCAGGACATTACCTAGGTCTAACAGTTCAGCGATAATGCCACTTAACCATCTCATCTAGATCAGTTAAGTGACTGGGCAAACATTTGGCAGGTAGACTATCATATGGACATACATGAACCTGACCACTTTGGCAAGAAGAGCAAAACTGTTTAAATACAAGAATTGTATAGCTGGAGTACAGAGAGATCTTGCTGTCCTGTATGTGATTCAGAAAATGTTAGTGTGCAGGTACAGCATGTGATTAGGAACACAAATGAAACAAAAAAAACAAAAAGAGTTGTAGTGTCATTTGACAATACAATGTGGAGCGGGAGGGACACAGCAGGAACGTTGACGTTTTGGGTCAGGACCTTTCTTCATTTTTTCTGAAGAAGGGTCCCGACCCAAAACGCCAACCTTCCTGCTCCTCTGATGTCATACAAAAACAGGAATGTTTTATTTCAGTTGAATGCCCTTAGTAAAACATAAGATCCTGAGGGTACTCAACAGGTTCTGAAAAGGATGTTTTACCTTATAGAAGTAAATAGAAATTAAGGACACAGTTTAAAAATAAGACACAGAGGAGAAGAACTTTTTTTTCCCCCCTCAGAAGGTCACGAGTCTGTGGAATTCTCTTCCTCACAGTTACAGGGGGGGCAGAGAGTTTAGATATTTTTAATCCAGAGGTAGAAAAACTCTTAACTAACAAAAAGTCAAAGGTGATCAGTATAGACAGGAATGTGGCGTTGAAGCCACAATCAGATCAACCATCAAAGCAAATTGTGAAACAGGCTTGAGGGGTGAGGACTTAAGGACTTGAGCAACTTGCCCAAATACAAGAACTAGGGGTGAAATGGTAAACCCGTGTAAACTGTGCTGAGCCTGCAAGAAGCAGGAACTGAATTATAAGAATGAAATGTTCTCAAACACCAGCATGAAGAAATCACAGAACAAGAACACAGGATCTAGTCTCGGAAACATTTGGAGGTGATGGCATTAGAGACATGTGGGAACATGTCAGCTAAAAGTGAGAGTGCACTGAGAGCAGATCTTGGAAACAGGATTTAACCCTCAACCAAAATGTCAATTGTAGCAAAAGCCTAGGACTAATGTGCATGGAAGGAGCCTTGGTTCAGGGACCCAGCAGCAAACCAGGAACCCCAAAGTCCAGGCTAATTATTCATGTATTAACAAGCAGCATTCTATACAAGTTATAAGTGCTTGAATAAACCTTAACTTAGTCTATCAGTCTTCGTGAATGTGCATCATTCAATAAGATGCAAGAGGCCAAATAGTGTATCCCTGCTCCTAACTTGTAGGTGTGCACATGACTGAATTAAACATAGCATTTCAACTCACTAAATATTTTTCTGCAAGTTGTACCTGCCATTTCTTTTTCTTTCTAACTTCATTGTATGTTGACCATGTTCCTAATAAGTTACACATAGTAGGTACAGTTCTCAGTTCAGCAGCTCGAAATTTGGTTTACTGACATGAATGTAGAATGCATCAAGAGTGAGTTTTCAGAAGACCTGAAAATTGGCAGAGTGGTAAACAGTGCAGAGGAAAGCCTACTCTACAGGATGATACAGATGAGCTAGTCAGCTGGGATCACCAATGACAAATGAAAATTAATCCAGAAAAAAAAAACAATTAACAAGGAAAAATGTTTTACTTTGAATGGCAGAATCTTTGGAATACAGAAGATCAGAGGGACCTTGGTGTGGATACGATGTGGAGGTGTCGGTGTTGGACTTGGAGTGGACAAAGTCAGAAGTCACTCGACACCAAATTATAGCCCAACAGGCTTATTTGAAATCACAAGCTTTCGAAGCGCTGCTCCTTCATCAGGTGAAGTGGAGGGAAGCACACAGGCACAGAATTTATAAACAGAGAGATCACTGCAAGATAGTTCCAGGGATTAAGAGTGTCAAAAGATAGTGCAAATGATGCGAGTGGCTGAATAACCAGTCTTTGTAAGTGATCAAAGTGTGAAACAGTGTGACTAAGGTGTCAATAGCTGAATAGCAACTGAAGGGATGACCTATAATCACCTGACAAAGGAGCAATGCTCCAAAAGCTTGTGATTTCAAATAAATGTTGGACTATAACGTGGTGTGGTGTGTCTCTCTGACTTGGTGTTGATATCTATAGCTCCTTGAAGACAGCAGGACAGGTAGATAAAAGGTGGTTAAGGATATGGGATGAGACAAAAAAAAGACTGTCGGTGCTGGAATCCAAGGTAAACAAACAGGAGGCTGGAAAAACACAGCAAGCCAGGCAGCACCTGAGGAGAAGTCAACACTTCGGGTATTACCCTTCTACAAGACTGGATGAGGGGGTTGGGGAGGCTGCACATAAGGCAGCAGCGGTGCGAGGGGAGTTACAGAAATAGTGGCAATATGTGGACAGCAGTAGTAGGTACGACCTGGTTCGTCAATAGGAGGGATGAATCCACTTGGTAGCTGGGAGAGAGGGTCAGTGGGTTGAATGAAAGGAAGGAGGCGGGGCTCCTCCCTTTCATTGGAGTGGTTGGTGAGGAGCATGGCAGTTCTTGGGATACTTGCCTTTATTACTTGAGGCTTTTAATACAAGAGCGGGGAGGTTATGGAGGAGATGTATAAAACATAAGTTAGGCCAGAGCTGGAGTACTAGCGCAGCAGCTAAAACTGCCAATAATCGGAAGAATATGATTGCATGAGAATGTGCAGAAGAGATTCACCAGGATGCTAGCTAGAGTGATTCAGCTATGAATAGATAATAGATAGGCTGGAGTTATTTCACTTAGGTGTTATATACCAATGGTTTATCTGTTGATAAAGGCCAAGTACTTGTAATAAATAGTAATTCTCGCTCAGCACAGAAACCTAGTCCATGTTTTATTACTCAGGTCTGACACATCAGGTAAATTAAGAAATTTTGTTACATATTTTAAAATCTTTAACTTCTGTAATGACTCCAGGAATAACGGGGCTTGATTTCCAGCGGACTATCTCAGTGAGTTGTAACAAAATATTTAGGTGAGTAATTGAAACACCATAAGACAGAAGGGCTACAGACCAAGTGCTGAAAATTGGGATTAGAACTGATGGAATATTTTAAGAAATATCCAAAATTAGATGTTTTCAACCCTCAAGTCTTACAGTCAGATATTTTACAATATGTAAAGGGGTCCTTCAGCCCATTGTGTCCCCAGTTGAGGCTTGAAAACATCTAATCTCAAAAATTCCATCATATTTCTTTTCACATAGTTGAATGTAATTTTAAAGGAATAACAGCAACTTCCTTCGATAAGAGCTAATTTAGTGCTTAAAAATCAGTAACAACATTAAATAACTTTAAAACATCTTTAAATAACTTTAAAACATCTGACGGTGATGAGTATTTTTAAGTACTAAAAATTATACAATTACTAGAAGATTCAAGCAACAGTCAAACAAAATGCCTTGTTTTCATATTTTTTTTTTCAAATTCTAATTACCAATGTTAGAAGAACTACTGGATTGATGGCCATCCACTCGATTGATTAGAGATGAAATCAGGTAGTTTTCACTTATTCTCTTCCAATCTAATGATGCTTCTTTACAGTAGCGATTTTCTGTTGATTCCAACACAAAATTCATTTGTTCTCTAAATCGTCTTTCTTGTTCCTCTATCTCCTAAAACCCAAAAAGTAAATCAGCTTGTAAAGACCACATGTTTATATTTTTCTCTATTTCTGAACTGCACACCAAAAAAGGAAATGGATACTTCTTTTTGCAACCAAAACTGTGGAAGGAGATGTTGCCATTTGAAAACAAGTTACTCGAACTCATTGTGCATTGTATTTACAACTTGTTCAAACGGTGGGGAAAGATTGCTGCACTCATTGTCATGTCCGTAGGTGCATGTTCAGGGCAGTCATGCCCAAAGACAGACTACTGATCGGTTTTACAATCAGGACAGTTGTTTAGACCAGGAATATTCAGATTGACTATATCCGATTGTCCCAATCTGATTGGACAGGTAGCCAAGCCTGTGTATGAACAATACTGCAACTGAAATCCTCCAGACTCAAAAGACAACATGCTCTCTCCTTGCAGGGAATTAACAAAGCATTGTAAGACAGTGAGCTATTCTCACCATTTGCCTATAAGCTATTGCCTCTAACCAGTGACTGAAAGGCTAAACAGTTAGTGTGCCAATTGCTCTGTGTCTGCAGCAAGAAACTGAAATGACTTGGAGAGAAGACTATTACACATCTGAAGGGCTCACAGGAAGCGTAAGGACACCTCTCTGAATCTTGAGGATTGGAGCTATCGAACAGTGTTCTCTAATTTATTTTTCTACACCCACAACATTCTATGTTCTTTTGTTTGTCTTATATCTGACAGGGTTTAAGAAAAGTTAGAGTTTAACTCACAAGTTGATAGTTCATGTTTGGTTTGCCTGTAATGTTATGGACCAGACAGACCCCCAAAGTATATTATGGAGATAGCCTAGACCCTAACTTTTATATTTTTTAAAAAAGGTCAGTGTAAGGTGCTGTGATCCAGATATGATTTTATTGGTCCACCACTAAGCTTTAATGAAAATACACTTCATTCTGACAACACAGTTAAAATACCACAAAAAGAAGAACTGGCATAACTTTACTCTATTGAAATACTTAGCAAGAAAATGTATTATTTAACCACTAATCATCCACTGTTCCAAAATAGCCAGCTTTCCGTAAACACAAAGGCAATTCAGCAAGACAGTTATTATTCTCATGAGCTGTCTCTCTTCAGTCCAGTAGAAAAAAAACAATCTGTCCCTTTAGATTTTTTAACATCTTCTGGGTCTGTGAGAGTCTGACCCCACCCATTCACGATTCTTGCGTCTTACTTTAAAAGTAAAACACCCAGGGAGAACTCAAAACTGTTTATCAACTGCCTGTCTGAAGGAAACATTTCGGCACCACTGTGCCAAAACCTCTCTGCAAGAGAAACTAGACAACACCCCTCTGCAAGAGAAGCCAGACAACATCCCTCTGCAAGAGAAACCAGACAGGACATGTCTTAAAGACACAGTGGTTAGAAAAATGTATTTGTAGTATGCAGTAGTTTGTTGTTAAGCTAGAAAAAAAGTCTGTTTTCTGTTGATCCAAGTTCATCAAATAGGAAAATTGGGAACTTTCAGTAATACGATTAAATATTTAACTTTTCCGTTGACCCTGGGAATAGCGCTGTTATGACAGGGAATGGCCAAACCCCTCTGATAATTAATCCAAAACACAAGCCCCCGTCTGTTAAGACAGGAGTAGGGGTTCACCTCCAATAATTATCCCCTAAAAACCCAGAAAAGCTTGTTTTTCCCTGTGTAATCTATTACAAAAGTGGTTAAAAGAAAACAAGGTATAGAGCTGGATGAAGACAGCAGGCCAAGCAGCATCACAGGAGCAGGAAGGCGGACGTTTCGGGCCTAAACCCTTCATCGGGTCTAGGCCTGAAACATCAGCCTTTCTGCTCCTATGATGCTGCTTGGCCTGCTGTGTTCATCCAGCTCTACACCTTGTTATCTCAGATTTTCCAGCATCTGCAGTTCCTACTATCTTGGTTAAAAGAAAATCCCTGATCTCCACTTTACAAATAAGAAACAATTGATCTATTTAACCCAACAACAAAAAAATTAACAAAATTGCCAACAAACCGATAATTCCACCCTGGACTAACTACTTCCTAGCTGGTCTAAATTCTACTGGAATGCTGTTTAAATAAAGACAAGTCCCAATTAATAAGAAGAATAAATTATAACTTAATCTCTCCAAGTTCACACAGACTGTCTTCTGGAATATGCTGTCATCTCCGCTCTCTTCACAAACGTTTTTCTTCTGTTAATTCTGCTATCATGAATGTTTTACCTCTTATAATTTCTTCAATGGAGGACTTTGAGCTAAAATTCCTTTGATTAATTAGATGGCCTTTCTCTGAGAGCTGAATGGTGCTAATTCTGGCAGGTGGCGGATGGCTCTCTCTTTCAGGTAGCAGTTGGCTTTCTCCAATTTTCCAAATGCCCTCATCTTATATACCCGTAATGACAATAATCAAATTCTTATATGATTGGTTTCAGGTTGCCAACGCCATCAGATTTAAATTCATTTGGCTTTCCGTATCTAGATGCTTCATTTAAGTTAATTATCCAAATTCAAACTCGTTGTCACAACATCAAAACAAGACTGCTGTTTTGCCTGCCACCTGTAAGGCTTTTTTGATACACTTGTTTCACCTTTTGAGGCTCTGTACTGGCAACTTCAGCTGCTGCTCAGAGATATACTTTTTTTAAAATTTCTAAGTACAGACAAAGCACAAATCTCTTAAAAGGAACCACACATTTTATCTTCCTGCCTTCCACTTCACAACTACTCTACCCAACTTCATAACAAGCAGCACTCGAGTATGGGTGCACTTTCCCAAATGGATCATGACAACCTGTCCCAATAATCATTAATCTCTCTAAAAGATACCAAAAAAGTGAGTCAATTCTCCCAGAAAGAGAGCTGATCAACATCTGATAACCTTTTAGGTATTTTTCTGAAGTCACTAAGATGCTTTGTCACTTGTTAACTTTTTTAACATAAGTAACAAAAGACATTCCAGAAACTTAAAACATTAAATTACCAGAGAGATTGATATCTCTAGCAAATTAAAGAGGGATCATCTTTAAACTTAGCCAAAGGAATAATGGGAAATCTCCAACTGCTTATATTTAAAACAGCATTTGTACCAGTCCTCAAGAAAATTCCACATCCTTTACACAATAAAAGCACTTCCACGTGGGACGGTGGCTCTGAAGATGTGGCATACATGTTCACCAGTATCGCAGAACAGCTTTGTTAGAAAAAACGATATTGCATCTGTGTGTCTGTGGGGTAGGGCTGGTCTTAGAAAAATATTCCACCTAGACTTTTCTTCCCCCATGTTTAAGAAATTCCTAAACTGGAGTCTCAATTATCTGCAGAAACTGTCCAAAGAGAGGATTGAACCTTACTTCTGCACTTTCCTGGAGACTTTTTTCAGATGAGATATTCTTGATGATCTTAATGCTTGGTAACACATCGACATTTTAGAATAGCTGGGAACTCCCCAGAATAATGTCCATTCAAAAAAGAATATTGAATCCCACGTCATTTTTCTTTAAACCGATATGCATCTAATCAACATCTCTGTAGCTTTCTAGGATCTTCCAAGCAATTAACGACTCCTCCTAATTTACTATCATCTGCAAATTTTACCACTCACTCACTATCTTTTGGATAAGGCATCCTGGACAGTATAATCAGATTGTAATGAATTAACTTTTCAATCAGTAATAAACAACATTACAAAATTGTTTTGTATCGCCTGGGAAGGCACAGCATCAGTGGGTGTGCTCTAGTTGAACATCCAAGCGTATAATGTGAAAAAACAGTTTCCAAGTGTAACTTGTCGACCAGTGCTAAACTAAATGTCATTAGCTTGCCATGTTTTTCCAAACAAAAGAAATCCATTCCTATTTTATGTTTTAATTAATTAGATGATAAACATCAACGGTAAAAAGAGCCCATTTACTGTTCAACCGATTAATTTTTAGCAGGAGGTGAAGGGTTGCATCTGACTCACGTGTGAGGGGAAGACAAGTTCAGCAGGTCATTTGAGTTCAATCAACATTACTGCAGATATTTAAAATCTTTCAATACATGTTACGAATAATTCTTCTCATTTAAATGTATGAGTTTGTCTTTCCCCCCATCTTCACCAGACTCCTAATGTCTGCCCATAGTGGAAACTGGGCGAGTGGTCATGGAGCTGGCATCGACAGTATAAGGTGCCATTGAGGCAGGGAGAGAGAAGGTGCAAGGGTTAGACAGCCTAACAATTTCAGAAATATCTAATACAAAGTCCGAGAGAACATTGGCTAGCCAGCTTGTTTCAGCATTCACCCATCCTGACTGCTGCAGAATTTGGTGTTTTTCCTGGTTGACAAACAACGAGATGAAGGAATTTTTATAAAAAGTAAAATTGAGGGAATTTCACGCATTGAAAAAGAAACATACGCATAATGCAGGAGGAACAGTAAAGGGTTAAAATAGAGTATTAGCAAGTTACAAGCCAAACACAATACTCCAAAATAATAGCTTTTAACCCTTTTCCAGTGGTATTATATTCCTGTAATAGAAAAACATTATGGCATTTAAAAAGGTGCAATGGGCTACCCATCAGTTGTGTAGCATTTAGCAAATAAATCATTTCAGCAACCCTCGCCGCAGTGAGGAGCATTTGACCTATTTATTATGCTTTTTGGATTAAAATTTGAAGGAAAAATCTAAAATGTCATAAACATTCTTCCTACCCTTCGCAGTTTCTCTTGTTCTTTTTCTTGTTCAGCAATCAGCATAGAGAGTTGCAAGGTGTGTTGTTCTTCCAATTGCTTCCGCATTTCCATAAATGTCATCATCTGTTTTGTGATAAGCTCTTCATCTGAATAATGGCACAGAAGGGAAAAAAAGAGTTAACCCCCTAGAAAATACAAGTAGGCCTGGATTTCCATACAAACTAGGAGCAGAGTAGCCTATTCAGTCTTTGATTCTGTTCAGACATTCAATAAGCTCATGACTGATCAGTTTGTGTTTCAAATATCTTATTCGCATCTTTTCTCAAGGACCTTTGACTTTCTTGCCTCATGTTACACCTCACTGGGGTAGCACACGGAAATCACTGTTCCCAGACTCATCATAAAAGTTAAAGATTTTGAAAAGTACACAGAATTCCCCAATCTATCTGGCTTTCAGACCCAGGCTAATAAAGCATGGACCAGATTACTGTACTTTAAAACGATTACTATTTATGATCAGTCAATAGGCTCCAGCTCCAAGTAAACATATGAACTGTCAACGTGTAACTCCACTAGTTAAAACTCTAACTCACTTGCAGGAATTCCTGTCTATACACACATACTGACAGACTAACATAACATGGGTGGTATACATGGAGGGAAGGACTGGGAAGACAGTCAGTGATCACCATCTATAAGATTGCTGTGATGTTCCTTTCGCTCATTAAAACGCTGCTTCTCAATTTGCCTTCTCCAGGTACTTTCACCTGTTTGTAGGAGGCACAGAGTGACTGGCTCACACTTATAAAAGTTCTCTGACATTTAATTAAAAGTCACAGCTACAGCAATCTTTGAGGGGAAACTGGCTATCTTCACGTCTGAGATAGTAAGAACTGTAGATGCTGGAGTCAGAGATAACAACGTGGAGCTGGAGGAACACAGCAGGCCAGGCAGCAGAGGAGCAGGCAAGTTGACGTTTTGGGTCGGGACCCTTCTTCAGAAATGGGGAGGGGGGAGGGAGCTCAGAAATAGAGAGAAGGGGGGAGGGGGTTGGGCTGGGAAAGACGGGTGGAATGGTGATAGGCAAGTGCAGTAAGGAGTGGTGGGGATTGGTCAGCGAGGTGGGAGGAGTGGATAGGTGGGAGAGAAGATAAACAGGTTGTGTCAGGTCAAGATGGCAGGGATGAAAGGGAAGATTGGTATTGGGATGAAGCCAGGGGTGGGGAGATTTTGAAACTAGTAAAATCCACATTAAGGCCATTGGGCTGTAGGCTCCTGAGGTGCTGCTCCTCCAGTTTGCGGGTGGCATCATTGTGACACTGGAGGCGGCCCAGGATGGACGGACATGTCACCCAGGGAGTGGGACGGGGAGCTGAAATGGTTCACGACCGGAAGGTGTTTTCATTTGTCACAAACAAAGCGCAGGTGCTCCACCAAACAAACAGTCTCCAAGCCTCCGCTTGGTCTCACCGATATAGAGGAGGCCACATTGGGAGCAGTCGACCATGTTGACAGATGTGCAGGTGAACCCCTGTCTAATGTGGGAGGTTTGTTTTGTGCCTTGAATGGAGGTGAGGCGGGAGATGTAAGGGCAGGTGTAGCACTTCCTGCTGTTGCAGGGAAAGGTGCCGGGGGTGGTGGGGTTAGTGGGGAGTGTGGAGCGGATGAGGGAGTTGCGGTGAGAGCGGTCCCTACGAAAGGCAGATAGGGTTGAGGACGGAAATATATCTTTGGTTCTGGGGTCGGATTGTAGGTGGCGGAAGTGGCGGAGAATGATACATTGGATATACAGATTGGTGGGATGATATGTGAGGACAAGGCGGGGTTTCTGTCTTTACTTTTGTTGGGGAGAGAGGATGTGAGGGCAGGGGTGCAGCTAAAGGCATTTTCGATCACCACAGGGGGGAAGTTACGGTCCTTGAAATAGGAGGACATCTGGGATGTTTGGGACTGAAACACTCCATCTCGGGAGCGGACAAAGAACAAAGAAAATTACCACACAGATACAGGCCCTTCGGCCTCCAAACCTGCGCTGATCCAGATCCGCTATCTACACCTGTCGCCTATTTCCCAAGGATCTGTATCCCTCTGCTCCCTGCCCATTCATGTATCTGTCTAGATACATCTTAAATGACGCTATCGTGCCCACCTCTACCACGTCCGCTGGCAACGCGTTCCAGGCACCCACCACCCTCTGCGTAAAGAACTTTCCACGCATATCTCCCTTAAACTTTTCCCCTCTCACCTTGAAATCATGACCCTTAGTAATTGAGTCCCCCACTCTGGGAAAAAGCTTCTTGCTATCCACCCCGACTATACCCCTCATGATTTTGTAGACCTCAATCAGGTCCCCCCTCAACCTCCGCCTTTCTAATGTAAATAATCCTAATCTACTCAACCTCTCTTCATAGCTAGCGCCCTCCATACCAGGCAACATCCTGGTGAACCTCCTCTGCACCCTCTCCAAAGCATCCACATCCTTTTGGTAATGTGGATACCAGAACTGTAAGCAGTATTCCAAATGTGGTTGAACCAAAATCCTATACAACTGTAACATGACCTGCCAAATCTTGTACTCAATCCCGTCCGATGAATGAAAGCATGCCGTATGCCTTCTTGACCACTGCGTTGCCACCTTCAGGGTACAATGGATCTGAACACCCAGATCCCTCTCTGCATCAATTCTCCTCAGGGCTTTTCCATTTACCGTATAGTTCGCTCTTGAATTGGATCTTCCAAAATGCATCACCTCGCATTTGCCTGGATTGAACTCCATCTGCCATTTCTCCACCCAACTTTCCAATCTATCTATATTCTGCTGCATTCTCCAGTCCCCTTCACTATCTTAGTGTCATCTGCAAACTTGCTAATCAGACCATCTATACCTTCCTCCAGATCATTTAAGTATATCATAAACAACAGTGGTCCCAACACGGATCTCTGTGGAACACCACTGGTCACAGTTCTCCATTTTGAGAAACTCCCTTCCACTACAACTGTCTCCTGTTGCCCAGCCAGTTCTCTATCCATCCAGCTACACCCTGGACCTCATGCGACTTTCTCCATCAGCCGACCATGGGGAACCTTATCAAACGCCTTACTGAAGTCCCTGTATATGACATCTACAGCCCTTTCCTCATCTATCAACTTTGTCACTTTCTCAACGAATTCTATCAAGTTGGTAAGGCATGACCTTCCCTGCACAAAACCGTGCTGCCTATCACTAATAAGCCCATTTTCTTCCAAATGTAAATAGATCCTGTCCCTCAGAATCCTCTCCAGCAGCTTCCCCACCACTGATGTTAGGCTCACCGGTTATAATTTCCTGGATTATCCTTGCTACCCTTCTTAAACAAGGGGACAACATTAGCCATTCTCCAGCCCTCCGGGACCTCACCCATGCTCAAAGATGCTGCAAAGATATCTGTTAAGGCCCCAGCTATTTCCTCTCTCGCTTCCCTCAGCAACCTGGGATAGATCCCATCCAGACCTGGGGACTTGTCCACCCTAATGCCTTTTAGAATACCCAACACTTTCCCCCCTCCTTCTGCTGACTTGACCTAGAGTAATCAAATATCTATCCCTAACCTTAACATCCATCATGTCCCTCTCCTCATGAATACCAACGCAAAGTACTCATTAAGAATCTCACTCATTTTCTCTGACTCCTCGCATAACTTCCCTCCTTTGTCCTTGAGTGGGCCAACCCTTTCTCTAGTTACCCTCTTGCTCCTTATGTATGAATAAAAGGCTTTGGGATTTTCCTTAACCCTGTTTGCTAAAGATATTTCATGACCCCTTTTAGCTCTCTTAATTCCTCGTTTCAGATTGGTCCTACTTTCCCGATATTCTTCCAAAGCTTCGTCTGTTTTCAGTCGCCTAGACCTTATGTATGCTTCCCTTTTCCTCTTTGTTAGTCTCACCTGTCATCCATGGTTCCCTAATCTTACCCTTTCTATCCCTCATTTTCACAGGGACATGTCTGTCCTGCACTCGAATCAACCTCTCTTTAAAAGCCTCCCACATATCAAATGTGGATTTAACCTCAAACAGCTGATCCCAATCCACATTCCCCAGCTCCTGTCGAATTTTGCTATAGTTGGCCTTCCCCCAATTCAGCACTCTTTCTTTAGGAACACTCTCGTCAGTATTCTAAAACTTACGGAATTGTGATCACTATTCCCAAAGTAATCCCCTACTGAAACTTCAACCACCTGGCCGGGCTCATTCCCCAACACCAGGTCCAGTATGGCCCCTTCCCGAGTTGGACTATTTACATACTGTTCTAGAAAACCCTCCTGGATGCTCCTTACAAATTCTGCTCCATCTAAACCCCTAACACTAAGTGAATCCCAGTCAGTGTTGGGAAAATTAAAACCTCCCATCACCACCACCCTGTTGTTCCTCCATCTTTCCATAATCTGTCTTCATGTGTGCCTCTATCTCACGCTCGCTGTTGGGAGGCCTGTAGTACAGCCCCAACATTGTTACCGCATCCTTCCTATTTCTGAGCTCTACCCATATTGCCTCACTGCTCGAGTCCTCCATAGTGCCCTCCTTCAGCACAGCTGTGATATCCTCTTTGACCAATAATGCAACTCCTCCACCCCTTTTACCTCCCTCTCTATCCCGCCTGAAGCATCTGTATCCTGAGATATTTAGTTGCCAATCTTGCCCTTCCCTCAACCAAGTCTCAGTAATGCAATAACATCATACTCCCAGGTACTAATCCAAGCCCTAAGTTCATCTGCCTTACCTACTACACTTCTCGCTTTAAAACAAATGCACCTCAGACTACCTGTCCCTCTGCGTTCATCATCTGCTCTCTGCCTACTCTTCCCCTTAGTCACACGGACTTCATTATCTAGTTCCTTACAGGATTTAGTTACTACCTCTTTACTGTCCACTAACCTCATTTGGTTCCCATCCCCCTGCCACATTAGTTTAAACCCTCCCCAACAGTGTTAGTAAAAGCAGCCCCTAGGACATTGGTTCCAGTCCTGCCCAGGTGTAGACCATCCGATTTGTAGTAGTCCCACCTCCCCGTCCCAAAGTCCCAAAAATCTGAACCCTCCCTCCTGCACCATCTCTCAAGCCACTCATTTATCCTGCCTATTTTTTCATAGCGACAGAGGAGGAGGAATTG